ATCTTTGCCAAAAGCAGCATGAGAGCAGATCTCATTTTATCAGAAGAGACAATCTCAAAGCGAGTCTCTTTTTTTCCCCCTTTGCCAGGAAGGCTTTATTTGACTGGCTGTCAGGTATAACGCGCCTCTCTCGATATTGATCTGAAGTACCTAAAGGTATGTGACATCATTATGAGGCTTGACCTTATAATCTGCTGCCCTGCAGCCAATAGGCAGGGCTGGGCCAGAATCTAATGCCTCCCCCCATAAGGGTGGTAGCTGGTGCGTAATAGGGAAATTGGTGGTGGTGTTATTTGTTTTCCTGACCTCATGGCACACTTGAATTCAAGGCTTCTAATCAGTCATGGCCTAAGGATGGCTTCACTACTAGGCTAGGTTAGCTGGCTTTGCTGTTGGTTTTAATGTGAATCATAGGTGTTGATATTGGACATAATGATATGGAGAAATATGGACACATTATCTAATAATTTAACTAAAGTGATTGACACTAAACAGACTCAATTGTTTATATGTGCAATTGCACAAAACACAAAATAAAATTCAATATCCACCTTTTTTAACATGAAATACCAACAATTAAAATAATTAATAACATTTGCAAAATATCTGCTTGCAGCAACGTTGGTATGGCTACAGTAAGGAGAAGATAATGGTTACAGTAAACTAACTCTTAGGTCAAGCAACAAAGACATGTGTTAAAGCTCATCTTATCAATATGTTTATATTGACAATGGATTTAATAACTGTAATTTTCTTGTTCCGATTTCATGGCCCGCAACTTTACCATTTAATCTCACCCCTCTCATCAGTATTGTTAGCAGAAAGCAGCTGTTTCAGAAAAGGACATAAGATATACCAGCTATATGCTCCCTGCTGAAGGCCAAAGGGCAAACAGAAAAAGCTAGCGACTAACCGGTGGGACAGAGACACATTTAACCATTAAGAAGCCAACATTTCCCTCAGGAGATGGTGGTGATCAAAACAGAGCTGAATGAAGATTTCATATTTTTCAAATAATTCCAAATATATGCTTGTTCATGTGTAAATAATCAGCTGTAAGCTAAAAATATTTAGCATATAACTTTATAAGGTGATAATATGTCATGTTATATGTATATCTTGCTCCACTGCCCCCTGGTGGCTAAAAATGAATTATGTAACTTTTAAATTAGGCTAAGTTCAGTTATGGCATAAGGAATCCACCACTCATTTATTGACATGCAATCTCTATTATTTTTGCTTGGGATGTATACGTTTATCCACAAGGCCACGGCTGAGTCAAAACGCAGAGGCGCCAAGATACACATTTTATAAGGCAATTTTATGGCTGCAAGTTGCGAACAAGGGGTTTTGTTACAAGGATTATTAGGCTTTTCCAATGTTCTTTTGTTATTATCCAATTAAGTGTTATTTAATCACAATGGTTGCCTATTTGGTAATGTCATCGTAACCTACCTAATACTATGCTCATTCCAGGTCCTATTAACTGTTAAGGAATAGTCACTGCAATAAAATACTACATGAAAAACTGTATCTGTATCTACCAATATAAACTAATTAGAATGTACTGAGAACTGTTGAAGCTTTTATTTAGACCAACGTAGAGATCAAACACAAAACTGTCTCACAGTTTGTCTACCAGTTGAGCTGCAATTCAAGTGCAGTTTTTGAAACCTCTTTCATTATCTCAAGTGGTGAGCCACTTGTTCCCCCTGAGAGCTACAGTACAGTGTGACATTTAGTAAATCCTGAAGGCTTTTGCCTTTTGTTGTATGCATTTAAACAACACATTAAAGCCACAATGTTCCTTGTGGAACCTGTCACATTTCCCAGGTAAAGCAGATGAATAAATAAAGCACTGCCGTTAGTGGCTGAAACACCCCCCTTCTTTGTGTGATTTGCTGTTGCCTTGAGTTAGATCCTGATCTCTTTGTAGACCCTCTCCCAACAAGCATTGACCTTCTGCTCCGACATGTAAAGAGCTCCACAAGATCAGAAAGGGGAGGGGGAAGCTGTGAATAAAGGCATCACCACTGCGAGCAGTCAAGAGACTTCATCCACTTCACACTTCTCTCCTCTTTCTCTGTGTGTAGCTGTTTCTCTGTGTTCAGTAGGAGCGGAGATACCTTGTTGGCGGCACAAAGGAGCGGCTCCGTAATAAAAACAGCTGTCTCTGGTGGTCTCGGTGTAATTGGGATTGTTAACGTGGAGAGCTCCTGAGGGAGGCTGAGAAGAGTATGTCTTTGTGTAAAGCACACAGACACCTCTGCAGCACTCCTTGATTCGGATGCAAGTAAGAGAGTGAGGAGGAAAAAAGCAAACAAGTCACCTGAGTTATATCAGGCCTTGCTGCATCTGCTCTCTCTATTTTACTTGGGCTTTTACTTTTTTTTCAGACAGTGCCGATGTATTTATTTGTAGTAAAGCTCATTGAAGTGAGAGAAATCTTTCCTTGCACAATTCTACTGAGGGTTTATGTTTGGTAATGGTAAGGAACGACTGCACCTTCCTGCATTGAGACAAGTCTTTGTATGATAGCAACATTCACACCAATTACTGGATCAGTGTGACGACACAAATTGAGGCCACTTTTTTTCTAAACTGGTATAGGGCATTCAGCTGACAATGACGTTTTAAAAAGTGGCAACAAAACTAGCCCGATCTCAAGTGTGTGATGTTTATCATTTGGCATCCTTATTTTATATGTAAATCTTTTGTTATGGTTAAATAATGTGTCAATACCATTGTAGGCTTACCTAAAATTACATCTTGTCAGGGGTTTTGTTTATTTATCAATTTTGCTTATGAATCAAAATGTATAAGCTGTCATAATGTTAATAAACAAACTGAATATTAATTAGGCATAGACTATATAACATAAATTATATGATAATCAAATCAACTTCTACATTAGCCAAAAAAGGGTCTGTGATTGTCACAGAAATATCCAGGATTGTTAATTGTGTTTCTGTTTGCAGAGGCAGACCCGATTATGTTAACCAGTCTGAGAAAGTATCCTCCCTCAAAGAAAGAACGCTGTTTGCACAGAAAGTAAAAGTCTTACATGAACACACTCAGGAAAGTGTTGAAAACGTACTTCAAAGTCAATTGCTTGGGAGCAGCTCAGGCTGATTTATTTGACTTAAGATATACTTTTTGTGTGTGTTTCATTGTGGATGAAAATTTCATACACCAATTTAGAGGTGGTGAAATATAAATGATTTCTTTAAAGTTTCATCATAGATCAGTCTGTCGGTATATATGGGAGCAGACACTGATTGCTCCTTGATGTCTCCTGAGCCTGATCTCTGTCTCCTGTCTGGAGGTGGCTGTTGTCCCGCTGGGGAGGCAAAATGATGGCTCTCTGTAAAACTGCTGCAGCAACACCAACAGGGTTTCTGTCGCTGCCGTGGGGACGTAGCAAATGTCTGCGTGAATCAAGAGTGGAAAAAAACGGGAACTGACATACAACGTGTTCAGGAAGCCTGCGCGTTAACGCGGTAACATCGGTAGCCTCCATTAACGCGCTTTCACACTCTTATTACAGCGGCGCGCGGCTGTGGCCCCATGCCGAGGCGGTGTCTATAATTATTATAATTAACACCATACTTAATAATCTCCAGTTAAACGGTGGGAATTTAATGTGGAGTCCTTAACATTAGCGATGTATATTATTAACACATTTAAGGTGATTTACGGGTCAACCCCACTGCCTGTCAAAGACATTGATCACTGCTTCATAACTACAGGATGTATACCTTTGTGCGTTTGTGAGTGTGCGTGTGCGTGTGTGGAGAGAGAGCAGTGTTTAGAAAGTGTAGAGCCATAGGAAAATCCAGAAAAAATCCAAGAGGCATTGTTTTCCATAAAAATACTTTCAAACCTCCGAGAGACTTACACCATCCTATAGACGTGATCATATTAAACAGATTAGACACCCCTTGTTAATTACAATGTGATAAAATGATTTAAATAACCAATGAGGTGGCTTAATTAGAGGAGAGATAAGATAATAGTCTGATATGACAAGTATATAGATTTGCAATTTAATAGTGATAATCATTTTTAAATATGCCCTTTTATCCACATTCGACAAGTAGTGCCCTTTGCATGCAACATACCATGCAGAAAACAATACAAAACATTGAAAAATAGGTTATAAATTTCTTACATGGTTACCGATTTATTTCTTGTCTTTTCAACAAAATTATTCAAGGTTCATACAAATGTCATTGCAACAAAGAAGAAAAGATTACAAGCAATATCATACAACATTTCCACTACATTTGAGGTAACCTTAGCAATTGCCAATCATTTTATATTAGTTTTTTTTTTTAAAGAAAGAAAAATAAATGACAGCTTGATTTTTTATAGTAGCCTATACAAACTAACAGAAATGTCTTAGCGATAATATTTTTTGAGGATATTGACATCAGTATAGGACTGGTGCTGTCCAAGTTATTCATCGGATGCGCGTTTGGAACAATTACAATCTATATTCCAATACTAAAAAAATGAAACATTTTCAGGTGCAATAAAGCGGATTTAAAAAAGTATCTGAACTTCATAAGACGAAGTGTTGGTAACGAGGTGCTGGTGGTAAGAAATAGTCATTTGAAATAAATGCCTTTGTCGCAGACTGCCCATGCGCAGAGTCCCCAGCGGCGGCCGTGGCGGTGGTGCTGGTGTGGCTAATGAAGAATAATAAATCATGAAAGGGTTTTTCAGGTACAGCTGGAAACAGTGTGTGTGCATGAGTGTGTGTGTGTGTGTGTGTGTGTGTGTGTGTGTGTGTGTGTGTGTGTGTGTGTGTGTGTGTGTGTGTGTGTGTGTGTGTGAGAGAGGGCGAAAGACAGAGCTGTAGAGAGAAAGGGGGAGTGTGTGTGTGTGTGTGTGTCAGAGGAGGGGGGCTATGAGAGAGAGAGAAAGAGAGAGCGAGGCGAAGAGAGACTCAGTCTGCCCTTCGCCTCAAAGCAGAGGCAGTTCGGGTCCCCGCAGCATTCAACGAGGTACAGAGACTGTCACCGCCATTACTTCTCACTTACGGTCATTTCAAGACGGAAACTTTTCACAAAATAACAAAACAGGTCAACGAAATCGGCTTCTGTTTTAAGCTTGACGTCTTTTGGAAATCCTAAGAGACGGAAAGAAACTTTTTCCATTTTTTCTGGCTTCGCCTTTGAGGAGTTCTGCCACAAAAAAATCCAAGGCAAACCACAAATATTATAGAAGGTGGAGACGGTTGCAGGAGAAAAAAAAACAGGTTCATTTTTTAACTAGCGCTACACGTCCAGACGGAAAAAGGTATCGTCTACGCTTAGTTGCATGGCTTGTTGATGTTTGCGTTATCTCATCTTCCAAAAAAGATCTCCTTACCTCCACTAGAATTAATAAATAGATGTGATAACTTCAGTATTGGACGAACGTCTTCAGAATACACTTTACTCGCCAGTGACCTGAGATTCCTTTGAAGCAATTGGGCTTCAACTCCCATCCTAGGAGGCGGAGTCTTAACTTATTAAAAGGAACTTGCCGAGGCTTGGACGCCCGCAAATATGATGATGATGTCTCTGAACAGCAAGCACCATTTTGCTATGGCCCACACCAGCTTGCCCGAACCGAAGTATTCGTTGCATTCAAACTCCAATTCCAATGTAGCCTCGTCCTCCTGCTCGTCCGCCCGACACAGCAACTCGATCATCAGCGGCAGCGGCAGCTCGGAGGCGATGCGCAGAGCCTGTCTCCCAACCCCACCGGTACGTATTCTGCATAATCACTGCTTAAAGGCACATTTTGACAGCCCACTTTTTTTGCTTGATGTTTTTTTCATGTCTGCACAGCAAATCACCCAACACCTCCATATTTTTTTTCTCCTCTGCTCAACTTATGTATTCAGTCTGCTTTGCCTTGCGTATTAATTTTTATGACCTGGGATGTTGCATGTGTCTTGTTTTGTGTGCTCCTTTTTTTTTTGATTTCTTTTTTTTCACATTCTGGAAATGTTTTAAACCGAGGAGTGGAGGGAGAAGTCCCTACTGACAGCTATGTGTGCATTCTATTTGCAATTGCAGAGCAATATATTCGGAGGCTTGGATGAGAGTTTGTTGGCCCGGGCTGAAGCTCTAGCGGCGGTGGATATAGCCTCGCAGAACAAGAACCACCACCACCCTCCACATCACAGCCCCTTCAAGCCGGACGCAACCTACCACACCATGAACACTCTCCCCTGCACCTCGTCTTCCTCCTCCGCCTCCTCGGGTCCTATTTCTCATTCGTCCGCCTTGAATGGCCAGCACCATCACCACCACCATCACCACCACCACCAGCCCCACCAGGCACTGGAGGGGGACCTGCTGGATCACATCTCCCCGGGACTGGCACTAGGAGCCATGGCAGGGCCGGATGGCTCTGTGGTTTCCACGGCTACGCACCCTGCCCACATGGCGGGCATGAGCCACATGCACCAGGCAGCCCTCAACATGGCTCATGCCCACGGGCTACAGCAGCACATGGGCATGAGCGACGTGGACGCCGATCCCAGGGACTTGGAAGCCTTCGCTGAGAGGTTTAAGCAGCGACGGATCAAACTCGGGGTTACCCAGGCGGATGTAGGGTCAGCTTTAGCCAGCCTGAAGATACCTGGGGTGGGCTCCCTCAGCCAGAGCACCATCTGCCGATTCGAGTCCCTGACGCTCTCTCACAACAACATGATCGCTCTGAAGCCCATCCTGCAAGCATGGCTAGAAGAAGCCGAGAAATCACACAGGGATAAACTTAATAAACCCGAGTTGTTCAACGGCGCGGAGAAAAAGAGGAAGCGCACATCGATAGCCGCACCAGAGAAGAGGTCACTGGAGGCCTATTTCGCCATTCAGCCGCGTCCCTCTTCGGAGAAAATCGCAGCAATCGCAGAGAAGCTGGACCTGAAGAAGAACGTGGTCCGGGTCTGGTTTTGCAACCAGCGACAGAAACAGAAACGAATGAAATACTCTGCATGTATCTGAAACCGCTCTGAACCACCACCCAAAAGACTTGGAACTGTTTAGAGACGATTTGTATCATATTTCCTATCTCACACCTTGTTTTCCAATCATCGATGACTTTGTGCTCTGAACTTCGAAAAATTCCTTAAAAATGAACAATGACTGAAAAACTCGAAAAGCCCACATGTCACGTCTTTTACTCGCTGAGAGGGAGACGTGGAGTCAAGTAAAGCATCGTTTGACAGAGCAAGTAAGACCACTGTTTCCACACTTACTATGCCTCACCTTTTTAATGTCAACGCAGTATTACTTACAGGACTCTATGCTTTCATTTTTAATTATATTTCTTTTAAAATGAGGACTATAGTTTGCTTTAGCATAAATACCCCCAATGAAAACAGCGTTGTTATTTACACACTAGTTTAACTCGAAGCACTTCGTTGATGATTATTGGTGTTTATGTTTTGGGTTTAAGTTATAGGTTAAGCTACATTTTCACTCCCGAGTTCATGACGATGCAGTTTGACATTTTATTCAGGGTCCATGAGGGATTAAGAGAATAACACACTATTGGTCTTGAAAGCTAATATTAGATTACTGCCAAATAATTCTTTGTAAATTAATAATTTAATTGTCACACACTTCATTTTGTGTCTAAATGTGTAATTTAATTCCACTTATTTTGTTACCATGTGTGATCAAATTCAGGGATCTATTTTTAAGATGCCCGGGGTTTGGATTTAAGGTATAAGGTTTTTATTATTAGGCCTCAGTATGTGGAAATATCGGAATAGTGACTCACTTTCACAGAATCTCGCAATTAAAATAATATGATTTCTGGCCGGCTGCAATAAGTTTACAATCCAGCGTGGGCCGGTCTCTTATGAACTATTTATTGAGTGAGGTCATGTTTACTTCATTATATATTTATTGGGATTCCCCCCTCCTCGTTTTGCTTGAGAAAATCAAATTCTGCAGCAAGTTAGGCGTGTTGGTCTGGTTTAAAGGGAAACGACTGTGAAATACAGTCATAACATTTTCGTTTACAATTTCTAACACTTGAGATGGTACAATCGAGATATATATGAGATAGTATTCTCTTTTTGAATTATTTTATGTATGTTTTCTGCTATTTATTTGTATAAATATACGCGCATCATTATGAAGTCGTTGCTTGTTAAAATCACCTTGTTTAAGTAATGTTTTTTCTTGAAGACAAAAGAAACAGCTTCATGGAAGTATACGTGTACAATGTAAATATTTCATTGGAACCAGTCGATGCACATAAATATATCCGTACAGGTTTTTGCTGTATTGCTGTTTTAGCTGAGGTAACTTATTTCTGTAATGTATGTTGCTTCTGTTTCCTGGTTAAATTATTCTATTAATTTATTACATCCATGTAATTTTTTTTTATTTAATTATTGAACTGCAATATGTGTTTCATTAAAGAACAAACTTTAACATTTAATTGGACGTTTTCCATGACTACACTGCGTAATGTGTCTCATCCAGACATATTCATATTATTTTATTTATTCATCTATTTATTTATTGATGAGGAGGCTGGAAACGGTTTAGCTGTGGGCTGCACAGCTTTCAAACATTGTGGACTCTTTGGGCTTATTTAACTACACATTTTGCCATTTGGTTTGTATAGGTAACGTGACTTTAACATCATGAAAAGGTGTCAGGTTTGATTTTGCAAACAGCCATGAGCCCTGTCATAGTGCCCATGAGCAAGACACCACAACAAACCCTCCCCCACCTTATCTGGTCTCCAAAGTATAATAATATAACAGATGAATAACTAGAATTAATATGTAGAAGGTAATTAGAAATAGCTATTTTGCCTGAGCACCGTGCTCCTCCAGGCCTCATCATAAAGCAGGCCTTACAGGAGCCCTTATCTCTATTCCATCAATGTTAAAGACACACGTGGCTCCTGCACTGACTTGCTGCCAGCTTATGCAGCTCACTGTTGCCTTACCTGAGAGCAAATGCTAATATTCTATTAGAGTCTAATCAGGGGGTCTATGGAGAGCTGGATGGGTCCCTGGAGCGCAGACTTGCCAGATGTCAGCCCGCCAGAAAAACAGCTCGCCTGCCAACGTGCCCGTCTCTATTTAAATACACACTCAAACATGCTTCGTTCCTGCATGCGGGCTCGCAGGCTTTGAAGCAAAACCTTTGGTTCGAAGTTATGGTTAGAGGAGGAGGAGGGTAAAAAGAAGAAGAGGGGAGCATTTTGAATGTCATGTCCACAGCAGAGCCGCTGTTTAGGGGGCTTAGAGGCTGAATGGCTGGTTGAGCGCTGAGCAAGCGTTTCAGCACCATGGACAGATACCTGAGGAACATTAGCATTTCTGAAACCTGTCCTCCACGTTCACACTCATTATTTACGGCACCTGGCTGGAATACATTTGCATGGGATTATTTTGGGATAATGTGTAATTGATCATGGCAGTTAATTTTAGCAGATTATTCTGCAAACACAAAAATATATGTTTCTTTAAAAAAGCATGTTTAATCAAATAGTTAAGACATTTTTAAATGATGTCAATTGTTTTTACATTTAAAAAAAACAACAACATTATAATGCATCAGTCTTTCCACATGAGTGTCACATGACGAGAATATCCACAACGTTTCCACCAAATATTTTAAAACTATTATTTACTATAACAGATAAGGACTTATGTCATATATATCTTTTCAATATTTATCCAACAAAAAACCCATTAATAAATAGTCTTTAAGCTGCAAAGACAACGCCTTCCTAACACTGATCATAAACCAAAACCTCTTCAACCGCCATGGTGACAAATTAAGAGTATCAAAACGAGCCTTATTAATGAGACAGCCATGATGGTTCATCAATTAAAAGATGCTCCTGGTGAGTGCTTCTAATTTCCCCTAAATGAGCCATTCACTTAATACGTTAATAAGAGCGAATTATTAAATTACACATCGAATTATGAAAACCAGATAATTATGAAGAGCGAGTTAAGTAGTCATTAGCTATCCCTGTTAATTACCGCTGGTCAGGGAGGGCTGCCGAGTGAGGGTCTCATCGGGAATTGAAATTAACTTTATGCAGGGAGCCTTGACACACACACATGCAATAACACACACATATACACACACATATACAAACACACACACACACACACACACACACACACACACACACACACACACACACACACACACACACACACACACACACACACACACACACACACACACACACACACACACACACACACACACACACACACACACACACACACACACACACACACACACACACACACACACAGACAGACAAGCAGCTTCTCAACCAGACTGATGCCTGCTTTACTTTCACATATTGGGAGAAAATCGATCTGGATTCTTTGATAGCGAATCGATGTGAAGCCAGCACTGAAGAAAAAAAAAAACATTGAACATAAAGGCCTCAGCAGCAGCACAATGACGAAAATCGAAGGTCTTTTTTATATAATAAATATGTGAAGCCAACAGTTTACCTTAAAGCCACAGACACTTGTGCTGCCATACATTGAAACCTATACAGCACGACACTGTGGGAGCTTTCTACAAAACGAAAAGGGCAGCGCTGTTTCCTTTTGTTATAATTACGCCCTCTGTTTTATTTTTCTCTTTCCCCTGAACATTTTCCCCCTTTCACAGGGATACTGATGAAAATTTAATGAGGCCAGGGACTGTCGGAGCTCCGCCTGGGGACCCGGGAGTAGAATATTTTAACTGTACATTTACGCCAAGTGTCTGCCTTCAAAGACGCGACTGCTCTCGAATTAGACGAAGTGTGAGCCATGAATTGAACGCACCACGCGCTATGAGCCTTTATTTATCATCTGTTGGCTATTCTGCACCGCCAACATATTGTGCAGCACGCGTCAGATGGCTGCCTGTTTGTTAAGCTGCGATCGCCATTTGATACTGTCGCCAATCGGTTGTTGTTGATGCAATATTAATCAGCCATCAATGGTCATTAGTTTGTTAAGTGTTTTCCAGAAACTAATCGATGGAGCAGCATTGGATGGCTACAAGGATTCTGGTGGGATACTTTTTGATCTAGGATGGCATGCATAAGGAGGGAAAGCCACAGTGTATCTGCCAATGAAACAGCTCCCTCTCTCTCTCTCTCCTCTCTCTAATATAATCGCACGTGCACACATTCATCTGCCACGCGCAGACTCATAAACAGACGAGTTGATGCTAGGGTTACTTTTTGTTCAAATACAATCCATTTTAAAAACGAAAAAAAGGGATGGATCCTCGCTTTTTATGCTGGTTGAAGACAGAATCGTTAATTTAACCACATTGCCAGATACTGTGTTGTTATGAAGATTTAAAAAATCCAAACCAGTCTGAAATGGTAAAAAAAAAGTGTTTTGGTTCCGTACTGATTTAATATGTCTCAATTACTTAGAGGCCTAAAACATCTTTGGAATTTTTTATTTATTTTTGGGTTAAGAAGACTGAAACATTTTTGTTAGAGGGAAAAGATAATAGCGTTGTTGGTGAGAAATATAACTTATTTAATTGATAGAAATAATTTCGGAAACGGCCTGCGTCTAATCTTTTATTTGATATGTAACAGAAAACAATCTAGATATTGGACAAACGTTGCCCAGACACACATAGACAAGAACTCCTTCCTTATTAAAAATGTATGACATCGATGTATTTATTCAAAGCAGTGCTTTCATTTTGAGTTCTGCTATTTAACATTGCATATTTTTCTATGCAATAAATTAAAACCAAGGTTTTCAGGTGCTATTTAAAGTTGCCTGCATTTAAACAAAAGTGAAAGATATCAATACATTCGCATTTACCAACATTTGGATATTTTCATTAAGAATCAGAAAAAAGTGAATCTCCCAAAAAATGGTCCCCCTTAATTTAATGCTTTTTGAAACGTTCACAGCCTTCATAAGTAAAATAGCTCAGGGGCGTGATTAGAGGGGGGGTGCCGAGAGGCCACAGTCTCCCCTGACATGCGGCTGCCACCAAAATAATGATTTGGATGCATAACTAAGTTTATACTTTTCCCCGGAGCCTTTTTTTCATTTACAGTATGTTATACATTTCTTATTAATATAATTATAACGTCTTGTTTAATTTCTATAGAACTGAGAATTTAAATTCTCCCATTTGTAGATTTTAACATCCATATCGTTGAGTCCATTTTGTGAATTTGTGGATTTTATTTTTTCAACGAGAATCTAAATGAATATTCAAATGCTTTTGCTTGAGGGAAGATACTGCCTACGCCATGCAGGCTAGACTGTTGCAGCACATCTTCAACATGATGGTGTTTTACACTTTATCAAGGACAGATTATATGTGTTCAGTAAATGTAGAAATGTTGATGCCACTGTAGGGATTATCAGTACAGATAAATAATTCAGAAAATGCCCAGCTGTCACAAAAATGAAGACTTATTTTAGGCTTTTTTGTCATATAAAAAATATAAATCCCCAAAAATCAAAGTAACATCTTTCTTGCCACTAATATACCTATTGCATTACCTTTTCTTACAGCTAGGGGTGTGTGAGGAACACCAGTAAGACAGAAAACCTTTGCACCGTTACACTATTAAAAGGCAAGTAGAAGAAATGCCCTTAAATTATTTTTACAAATATGTATGTAAGTTATTAATTTAATGTGTCATTTGGGGCCTGTGCTCACATGATGTTTGGACACGCAACATAACATATCTGCCTGTGAAAATAAATAATGAAGTCTCAGGCCCCTCATATGAAGCATGAGGTCAGTTGAGTTCATAAAAGCCAAAACCTCTTGGCATAATTACATCTTAAACGTTAGCTCTTTCCAGTCCAAGACCCTTTAAAATCAGAAGCAGCTGTTTATAATTCAGAGAGGGTATGGCCTTCACATTTAAAATAATATAGTGGGAACCAAATGTTCATCAAAATCAAATAAAGTAGCTCAGATTATTCCCATTTCTGTTTAAAAATATTCCTCATTAATTTCTGATTTAATTTTGGTGAATAAATAGTATTGACTAAAATGTAAATCTCAATGATAATCTGAATGAGGAAGGTTTGACTAAATACATACCGTTTCACAACTTTATATCACAAAGCAATCCTGTGCAAATAATAGAATTATAGTTGCTTGTGAATTGTTTTTGTATAAAATGAAAACCTTTATTTGGCTTTATTTATTATTATTATTATTTCTGTTAACATAGGTCACTTATTATGTCAACATATATGTTAAAGACTAATACAATCACATTCAATAAAAACCGAAGAGATCCACAGTGAACTATAGTGTACTATATAAGACAGGATATTCAATCTGACTGTGGATCAGTCTGTTTTGGAGAACACAGCAGGACCTTTGACATCACCATGATAGATCTTATTCTGAGGACTCTTCATAATGTATATGAATGTATAAGCTATTACCTAAATGTGTTCATCATTTAATTCAGTCACACCATGTGAACCCGGTGATGCATTATGACATAACGTGTAAATTGATGGCATCAAAGTGCCTTCAGCTATCAAATATTAAACAACATGGGATGGGTGTACACGTTTATGAACAGCTCTTCTCTTTGCGTTCCCTTTCCTCCTGATCTCCCCTTTTGCATCCATCCAGTCAGATTCCCCCCCGCTCGTTCTCAGAGGCTGTTTTGGTGTTCCGAATGAGTAAGTTGTAGACCGCGTAGAGATTGGACCTTAATGAGAAGGTGGTAGAGCTGTCTACTGGATGTGTGTTCATTGGGTTTTGACAGCCCTGCTCTGTTGCAGATCTATTAATCATACCCACAAGGAGAGCTACTCTCTCTCCCCCCTCCTCTCTCTCACTCACTCTCTCTCTCAGTTTTCAGTTTATACAGAACAGAATCATTTACATAAAGTCCTTAAGGCAAATAACTGTTGGGGGCTCTAATTTATATCTGATCGAAAATTAGCCGTCATTATGCGCGCCATTAGCTGCGTCTTTAATGTGCTTCTAAGCACCATTTGTCAAGCAGCTTGTTAATATCCTTCAAGTCTTTAAAGTTGAGAGCTCATTAAAGACTGCTGTGGCTGCTCTGGATGCTATTTCATACAATGCTGTGGGAAGGGACGGAACATTGAAAAGGTTTTGTTACATTGTCCCAAAAAAATGTGCTCAATGCTCATCCTTTTCGCTTCACATATGATCAGAAACTGAAAGACAGAATTCAGTTTTAGTGGGAGAAAATGTAAAATATATAAGCATTTAAATACATTTAGCCAAAACTATGAATAGGCTAAAGTCTAATTTAACATTTTCCTAGAGAATCCCCAACAGAAACGTCTATAAAACTGGTTATTATCAGGAAAACCAATTCTCTTCTGTCCGTGTAAGACAAATGATATTGAAATGCAAACATCAGAGAAATGGCCCCCTGCATGTAAACCCTGTACTCAGAGAGCTTTTCTGTTGTCTTGCCCACAGCCCATAACAGGAGACCCTCGCAGGCCCAATCTTTGCCTATGGGTAATGAGAGTTATGCTGCTTTATTATTGGTTAAAACTCCAGTGTCCTTAGTCTTTTTTTCCCTCCAGTATAACAGATTCCTCCAGGCTAAAGCAATAAAGAGAGTAATTAGAATGCTAAAGACAGATGTAAATAAAGGGAATGAGACAGTGGTGAGGGATGAGGCGTCTAGGTCACACACTCTCATCAAAAACCCAGTTGGTAGCAAATGACACAACGTTCAGTGCCAGAGGCCCGGGGCTACGACTGCAAACCAGAGGACATAATGGACTAAATTATGGCTTCAATGGCTATGCATCTCAAAGCACCAATAAGGACACACACACACACACACACACACACACACACACACACACACACACACACACACACACACACACACACACACACACACACACACACACACACACACACACACACAGTCTCAAACCCTATACACAAACATGAATCTGCTGTATGATAGGATTAAATAAATGTGAAGCATTATGTTATCAATGCACATTGTACGGTATATCACATGAAACCAATATGCTCCTACTATGCAGTTTAATCCAGTGGTCACACCCTCATTTAGAACAGTGTAGATAAGCTGCTAATTGATGCCACACATTGATAATCCATTGAGTTTATAGACTGCCATTTTCAAGCTTCTGCCCACAAATATACTTCTTATAAAACGGACTCTAAATTCTGCTCTGCTTCTCTTTGAAGCTGGTGTATTTACTTGTTTGCCGATTTATCAATTTATGTAGAGAATTACACATTTTAAAACCTGAAATGATCTGATTTTATTTGTTTTGGATGAATAGCAGAAGGTGGTGTGTGAATAGAGACCTAAGCTAACAACAACACAAAACACTATTCACTTGAGATTACATGCATGGAGAGGGGGTTGGGCTAATTAAAATATTTGCATTATTAAAAATACATTATCTACTAGAATGCCATCATATTTAACATCACAAGACATTCATAAATTAGCCACATTTTGGTGATGAAATCATTCCTGTCTCATAATGGGCTTCCAGGGGAATTCCTGTAAGACACGGACACAAAGATTAAGTCGGCATTTGAATATACAAATAAATCATTATTTATCATTAAACTTAAATCACATTGAGTCTCTGTGGTTGGTGTGAACCCTGCAGAGTTTTAGGGAACACAAACTGAGACTTTAGAGGACACAAATCACACACACTGAGGATCCCATTAGACTGTTTCACACACTTAGGATCCTGCCTTGTTAATGAGACCCTCTATAAGTTCCCCATGCTCCTCACACACGGTTCTTTATGTCTGTTCATTTATTTTTATGTCCCTCAGTTGGTATGAGCCACAAATCACTACACTCTGCACATTATGCAGAGATGCATACTGTAAAGGTATAGTGTAGTGTGGGCTATCAATGTTACAGATTTTACGATCCGCTTTGTTAAAAACAGATGGTCTTTATTGCTATTACATTTGCTACCATGATAGTTTTTTCTCCTTGTCGCTGGTCTAATCAAATATCAGTTTACACTACTAGGAATTAAAGATTTAAACATCTTGTCCTTTCAAATGGACAGAAATGGTTGGGTGATGTGGATAACATCTTCTACACATAGAGAAATTAAAGTACAAATAAGATTAGTATTTCTATGTTGATGTATCATGGTACATTTTCTGGAAATCCAATTGAAAAACATTTGAGAGGTAAAAAAAAATCACATGGTCTGACTCAAAACGTTGAAACCAACCAGAGTATAAAATGTTATAGAAAAATCTCTGACAGTTCACATATGAAACAAATGCTATTGATTTATAAAGTAGAAACATTTACCAATAGTATATTTTTAAGCAACTGTTTTAATACAAAAGGATTACGAAGGAGGAAATGCATGTCTCTATTGAAAATAATGTTTTAAAAAAGGACACCAAAGGATTAAAGAAAACGTGAAAAGTAACAAACAAAAGTAACATAAATGTGGGATACAGATCATCTGAAATAATAGGTACCGGTATATGTTAAATCCCATTAGTTTTCCTATTTGGTCTCACGTAAAAAAAGATTTAGCTGCATTTGTGTGTACTAAAACCATAATTGCATTATTTCTGACAGCTCTTGGTAGCAGCCTATAAAGACATTATAAGGTTACAGATGTTTAGCTGCCAATCATGCTGGGAATGCGCCACCAGATACATTTCAGCCACACAATCCCATCTAAGGAATGCTAGCAATAAGCCAAGGACTTCATTCAAAGATGGAAACGTTCCTGCACCAAACTATAGACTTGTCTTCTTTTTTAATGAAATGATTATTCATATATTTTATGTCAAAAAGAAAATGTTTCTGATTGACCATCAAGTCCACATTACAGGCAGTGCCAATGGAAATGAGAGGTATATAGCATCTTCATTGCCTATGACAAAAGTTACATGACCCTGCCATGCTAATTCTGTGTGGGAAGTAATGTCTCAGCAAAGCTATTGATGCCACACACTATATTAGATTACACTGTGCTGTTGAAATGTGTGCTTCCGAGGTGCCTTTGCAAAAGGTTGATTACTTTGCATATATTTCACCTGCCGCTCTGGGCTATTATTGCTTGAGATACAGAGTATAGTCAGTACCCTGATGGAGCAATCCTAAATGGTCAACGTCCCCAGTAAAACCATATAAAGTGATTCAATGCGAGCATAAAGAAATGTTAACGATCATCAAAGACCTTTGTGTTGGATGGCTTTCCTTCCAGTAACTCTCTTTTTCTCACTCTCTGCTGTCCTTTTTATTTCCCCACCGCTTCCTGTGAGAATATGGAGATTTTCTGCTGAGAACATTTCAAGGGAAAAGAATAAGTGATATGGTATAAAAGAATAGAAATCATTCCAAAGAAATAAACCCTGATGAGAAACCACCCAAAAATATATGTGTCATGCCTCTTTAACATCGCTAATATTGATAATGAGCTTTGCCGGAGAAATGCCTGTGCATCTCAGTGGCTGTGCTGTGAAACGTGGCAGACAGACATACTTTCTGACCTCTATATAGCAGCGTGGAAGGACCTCAACAGCTGTAAACAACACTGCAATCAGTGTCCCATCTGCTCCCATGTCCCACTTGTGTGGATGCCTTTTTGCCATTTCTTTCACCCTCTGCCAAGTGACTGCCTCAGGACATCTAACCCAGAGAAAAGAGCTCATTTACTCAAGGAGGAAAGAAGCAAACTAGATTTCTGAGCGCATTTGCTGACAGGGAAACTTGGTCGGGCAGAATTGAACGAGTTAGACGGATTATAATGTGCAAAGAATGCCATTTTGCACAAAAAGCAGTTCATCAAACTGCAGGAAACATCACAAATAACCAGTTATTATCTAAGATGGAGCAGCTAACCAGATTTCAAAGCAGCTTTTATGTGTTGATTTAACCTCGATTAACCCCCTATTCAGGCTAATGATGCTTCAAAGGGATTTTTTGAAGTGGGTGCCTGAGCTACACCCACTCCAAAGGTAAGTGGTATGATTTCTGTTTTGTATAAGTGACGAGAGCCCACTCGGTGAATCTACAAATGTATTATAGTATCTTCTATGTAATACTGATAACAACATTAAATCACATATAAATCAAGAGTGTGTTCTAGTCCTGCTCTATACAAAGTGTCAAGAGGTTACTTCTGTTGTGATTGGTTGCTATGCAGTTTACTTAAATGCATCTAGGATTTTCTATGTTTTGGGTTTTTTTATTATTTACTGTCGAGGCGTAAGAGAACCAATTTAAATGGGGAAAGGTATTGATGGGAAAATATTCGTTTTAGCAGGAAGTATTTATTTACAATAAAAGGACAAGTATGAGAGAAAGAGGAAAAGTGGGTTGAGAACTGGCGTTGGAGAGAAAACCATATAATAATTAAAAAAATAAATCAATATCACTATCATCATCACCACGACCCTTTAGAAGTAAAAGTAATAATATATGAACAAATCAAAACCAATATACAAAGGCATAAAATAATTTGAAGCTGATCAAAATGGCAGATTAAGTAGTGAGTTCAACAAAACAATAATCAAAACCCATTTAGATACGGGGTCAAACCAAAAATACATTAACAGTACTGGTAAAGATCTCTGGTAATTAGCAATGGGCACTTTTTACTATTAACTTAATACATAGTATGTACATGTGTCTTTCAGGACTAATTACTTTTTATAACTCATTAATTAAAGCCCCAGTATTGAGGTAATGTTGACCATTAATAGTAAATATAGATGAGGCCCAGGTTAAAATAAATACGGATGTGGATAATCATCAGGTAACCAGCCACAACACGTGGTGCTGTTTGACTGATCAATGATGTATGATGAGGATGATCAAGAATACATGCTGCCCTTGTCAGCTCAATGCAGAGGTCATTGTGCCTCAATCAGTCCACCTCTCTCTGTTCTCCAAATAATTGGCTTATGTTTTTATAATGAAAGTATAACATCTTAACAAGCTCTTCATTCAGGGGTGGGCTAAGGCAAACTCTGTATTCAGTATGCATAATCCATGTATACATATGCCTCACACAGAGCCCTGTGTGTTATGTGATTTGAGTGGGGGTCAGAGCCACTTGTATTCCTGTGGGTGGGATTGTGGAATTGCAGGAGATTTGATTGGAGCATTATCCCTACAAGAAGGCCCTCCAGAACTCCTATCTGTTGTTCCCCCTACTCATTTACTTTATCAGAGCACTGCTGTAATATACATAATTCAGACAACCAGGGAATGTCTTTGGGCTCCGAACCACCTGCTGGCTTTTATTAGCTAATTAATGGTGATTTATCAGAGCTGCTAATTTGAGTGGGGCCGCTTGCCTTCAGGAGTCTCAGCACACCGTATGAATTCTGATGGTAATTATGCTTATTTGATGGGCAGTTTGCTAAAACAAAAAGTTCTGTCTTTTCTGCCCCAAAGGGATGGAATTTCTGTTCTTACGAAAGACGACCTTGTGTGATTTTTTTTCTGTCTCATTAAGGTCTAACACACACTTCATTTTAATACTTAAATTCAAAACAGCTTTTTTTTTTTTTACCTTTTTACCTGTAGATGTGTGTCCTTGGGAAGGTCTTTTTTGATGTCCTTATGTTTCAAGTATATTTACTGTTCAACAACTACACATTCAGCTAAGGTTTAAGACGATATTTGGGCAGATTCTAAAGAAGAATAATTGATTAAAAAAAACTCCTAGCGTTTGCTTAGGCTAAAAAGAAGAGATTATTATTACACTATGTAAGGTATTGTAGGTTTTTAGGGATCATTTCCTGAAAAATACTTTCTTCCAACAATGAGCAATAATATGCAGGAAATGGTTTTTATGAACTGTCACATAAGTCATTGTGTTAAAGTGTCAAAAACCAGGTGATTGAAAATGATTATCCTTGTGTGTCTTTTCTCCAAAATCAACGTCATCTTTTAATCTCAACATTCACATTTTAAAAATCTGTAATAAGATCACTTTCATGTTGTGGTTGTTACAGGTTTAATCTTTGTTAGAAGTCTATTTTTGTATTTATTTAAAAAGGTCAGAGTTCTCTCTGAAGACCTCCCTCTTGATTTGAGTGAAGTGAAAACCCAAAAATGTGACAAATTGGTCAGTGTGTAACCTTCGGCCATTTCTTCATTTCTGGGTATTGTTTTCCGTCAGAACTGAAAAAAAATAACGAGATGCAAAGAGAGTAAGATACGTTTTGTGTTTATTGTTGGTATTCACACAGGTTTCATTTCTTGCTCTCTCCAATGGATAAATGTGTTTTCCAATAATGAAACGTATTTGTTTTTTAATGCTAACATATGGAGCTTACTCATAGCCTTCTTTAGCAAACACTGGTTTTATCTGACATTGTATCAATCAGCAACTTAATCCAAAACCATCATTGGAAACATATTATTAATACTATGCAGTAAAAATACTTTTCCAGTACAACTTACCCTAGGCATCAATAAAGTAGCCACTGGGTACCTTATTGGTTTGCTTGTGTAACTATATGCAGATGACTCCATCTAATCAAATGATGCTTTGGGGCTCCTAATGTCACATATTATATCCAATTATATGTTTTTCTGTGGTATGATAATAAGCATTTTCCACTTGTTGGATTCCTTAAACAGAAACTATTGTCCTTGGTTACATTAGAGTAACATCTGGAGGACTAGATGAAGGAATAAGGAACAGGTAAAGTAAGTGAATGTCACCAAAATTAAACAACATCAGCCTTTCCCAAAGCCTGTATCTTGGGATGCATCGATTTATTGCCCAATTACTGGTATCTCCTCAAATATGTCTTGTTAACCTTTATCAGCCTATTGGCTAATAAGACATTTGCTGCAAGAAATAGGCAGGTTTGGAACGGCTGCAAGTGTATTGTAAACCTCGAGATACAGTATGTTTAAAGACAATAAATCCAGATGTTCTTGGTAAAAAAAAAAACTACACCTATATCAAAATGTAAGTTAATATGATTTGCCACACACACACACACACACACATATGCATCTTTCAACCCAAACAATGCCAAAAGGAGCTTTAAAGAATGCTTCATTTCATCTGATTCAAAACACTTGACAAACCTTGTCATATCAACAAAGATCCAGCATGTAAGGTGGCCGATTGATGTTTCCTGCCCTCTGGATGCGTATCCTTGGGGAGATGCTGTAGACTCTCTTCCTCTTTGCCAATGCAGGTACAGTCCCAACAGGCAGGGAGGTATAGATGTATAAAACACTATGTCAAGTCATTTGGCATCTGAGAAATTAGAATATGGAAGAAAAAGAACGGGGTTAAGACATGTCTGCCAGCCAACACCTTTTCATTCAAATTCAAATACAAATTCAAAAAAGCAGGTAAATGGTAATATCACACGAGCAAGCAACGGTGCCTCGAGCAAAATGCTCCTTTAAAAGAGTTTCCTGTGCAAGGTGCTGCAGCTCTGCACACGTGGATTCAAGAGTTTGCTCACCGGGGATTGAACAGATATTCTGAGAACTAACTTTAATGTAGATAACCTTCCAACACAACAATTTACCATATACCTGTTATGTGTCAATCACAGTGGTAAGAGTATCATGTGTACATGTACAGTGTGTGTTGTACCGCATCAAAGAACAATCGACAACCAGCCAACCTCGCTTTGTGAGGTGTGTTTTTAGTGTTAATACCTCCTGTTGATCGTATCATTTGACACAGCTTGGAGAGTCAATTAAGATGCTATTCAGATCCCTACTTCAAAGGAGGGACATGTCTATGCAATTCCAGCAATGACCCAGAGAGGTCACAGTGAGTGTGTTTGTGTGTCTGTTTCTGTTTGTGTGTACACAATGGACCTCTGGTAGAGCCGTCAGCCCCTCTAGGGAGGGAACCTTCAGAATGAAAACACGCCATTCACAGGGACCTCAGCAATTGTACCACAAGGAGAAAAGGACCAATCTTTCTCTGTTCACAGCAACACACACACACACACACACACACACACACACACACACACACACACACACACACACACACACACACACACACACACACACGGTTTGATGGGGAGAATGGAAATAAGTGCCTCTATGCCCATGAATGCTATCATTTTATTCCTCTACTCCAAATGCTCCAGGGATCTCTGAGAAAGAGTAGGAGCAATAAGTTCACTTTACTGAATTAATGCCGTAATTCTTTATCAGGAGAGCCTTGGCATTACCTTGAACCGGGCTGGTTTTATGCAAAATGGTTTCAAGCCTAGTTTTTTTAAATGATGTTCCTAATTTGTTGGCTCACTTTGAATTATTAATCTCTTTTATCAAGTAGTTATTACGTGTCATAACAGTGTGTCTATGGGGGGAAATGTAAGTATGTCTCCTGGATCTTAGGAAAGGCCCCAGTGCAGAAATATATAAAATATTGATAATTAGCTAAATATTTACCTTGGCCCCTGAGTTAAGACACTGTGCTAAATGGCATGGGAACAGCTGCAGTGGTCACTGAAGACACACAATGAGACGCTGGAACTGAAACTCGTGAACAAACCAAAAGGAAAAGAAACATTTGATTGTGACATCCAGAAAATTAGAGTTGTGGGAGCTCACATCTGAATATTGTCTCTTTTTGGACGTGTCCTCTATCTTAAAGGTGAAGTTCTCTCTCTTTTTGGATGCTTATGAAATGAGACCTGTGCGGGCTCGGCGGTTATTTGTCAGAAAGAGGCAATAATTAGACATAATTATCTGTTCTGCATGGATAGCTAGTTTACTACATTTTGCTTTTAACAAGACAAAGACAAACAACTACAGTATAAGAAGCTGATATTTTTACACACTGAATTCCAGATAAAACATCAAATTGTTCTTACATTGTTTGAATTAAAATTGAAAGTCTGAAATAAAAGCCTAGCCTGTATGATATCCAATGAAATGTTACCTTTGTGTATGTTGTTGTGTCTAGGATAGGAGCTATGGATGAGAATGATAAATGTCATACAGAGGGACTTCTGATAGATGTGACCATGCACACAACACAAGAATGAAAGAGTCAGCGCCATGCATCCATCCATCTATCTATCAGCCAGTCCGTCCGTCAGACATACCACTGAACCATCTGCCAGCCTCCCCCATCCCTGGATGAACCCCCACAGCCACCAGCCAGGAGGAGGCTCTCTCTGGGGGCCTGATGTGCTAATGTGAACCTTTGTGGTGCTGAGCTGAGTGGAAGGCTAGCTGGTTGAACTGCTTCTGAGGCTGAGCTGAGGCATACTGCTTATCTATCACAAAGTCAAACTCTTTAAATAAATCTATCATGAATTCCTCTAGTATTGAGGTGGTGTAAAATAAATAATGAACACAATATTAACAAACAATTCCTATGTATATCTATCATCACGGACATGTATCTCTTTCTTTGATACAACCAAAGGAATCAGGGAATCGACCTCAAGCTTATAAATATTTTTCAAAATCTATTCATTTGATTTTTGAAACCTTTTGTTTTAACCTTAAGAACAGATCTGAACCCTGCAACAGTGCTCTGCATGGCGTCCTCTGCAAAATTCAATTAGACATAATGTTGCACTGCAATCTATTCATTTGAAGCACCCAGTGAGGCAGCCAGTGGGAGTTTATTGATTGGAGTGTGTCATGTGTGGAAGCGGAGAGGGGTGGCCACACTTTTTTGCTTAATGGACTGAAATAAAAGAGGCGGGAATGGGCTTTAATTAGGGAACAGCGGCAGGGGCATCTAGCTACCCCTCCCAGTGGTTAGCCTGCACCACCTCTGCAGAACACACCCATGCATTTTCACATGTAGATTCTCACAAACAGACATACGGTCCCACTACCAATGCATTCACACATACAACAACAAACATACACACTTGCAGTCTATCACCCTTGCATACACACACACACTGAGACACACAAGCTGAAACACACAGGAGGAGGGCAGAGGAGAATGGAGGGGGTGATGGGCTCCCGGGGTCTCAGCTGCTGCTAGGGTGCTGCCTGCTCCTCGCAATGAGTTGCAACTGTCAGTTTATTTTAACTCAGGCTTTTCATCATCGCACAGAGCCTGGTTGGAGGAAGCCACCTGAGAGTCTTAGGAATCTGTTGGCTACAAGTCATTAGCAAAGACTGCTGAGATACGCCGGGGCCAGAGATGTGCGCGGGGTAATGCTGCAGACAAGTGTGTCCCCTTAACCCTTGATAGGCTGATTGGCACAGCAGCTTGGCTTTGATGGCTGGATAATTACATGCAGCCTGGATGACACAGGGCAGGTCATAAAAGCTGAGCGGTGCAGGTAAAGAAACAAGGAACAGGGAGATGGTGTGAAAGAAGGCATGTGGAGTACATTAAAGAGTGAAAGCAAGTCTCTTTCTTTCCCTCAGAGCTTGAATCTATTATAACTAAAGAACTGCTGTATATACGTATATAGACTGCAAACACGTAACAGATAGCAAACATCTTTTTATGGTAGTAGGTCTGTTTCACTTGCAAACGCACATTGACATGGATATCGCACAAACAGAGGGGTAGTTAAGGAGGTTATGTTGATTGTTGATCCAATGGTGCTAAACAGAATAATTGCAATGGTTGATATTTTGAAAGTTTTGTCTAAATGTGGTAATATATCTGCAAACACAGTAACTACACTATATCAGGTAACGCTAGAAATGAGTGGTTAAGAAGGAAGTAAAACTACAATTGTAAGAACAGTGAAAACTCATCTCTTTCGACTCCCCTTCGAGCGATAGAATTATTAACAAAGCACTTATACTAATAAAGGACCGACTTATCTAAAGCCAGTTGAGTAGCACTTGAAATGTGTTGGCTCTATGAAACCTGATGTACTTTATGATTCTGTTTTCTTCAAGTTTGTATTTTGTTGGTCGAACGCACTTATTGTAAGTCCCTTTGGATAAAAGCGTCAGCTAAATGCAATGTAATGTAAAAAAGAAGAAGAAAGTAAAAAGTTGAACGTCATACAAAGCGGAGTGACGGGGTGATTAATTAAAATGGGGGCAATGTCACTCTTTGTCTCTTCTCAACGTAAACTGTGTAAAGTCAATAAGAGAGCGTGAGAAAGCTTCTCAAAACACGCTTACTTTCTCTCCTCCACACACCTGGAAGATCCCAGTGTGAAGAGGGTGGTCACAGAAATTGTCAGAAACACCTACTGCCAAATTTGACCTTTGGAATGGTCTGGGGAGCTGGAGTTTCAGACAGCCAACAAGCACTTGTGTTGAAGCTTACTCATTTCTTTAGAGAGGATTATCTAAACAACCATTTTAATGTAAAACCAAAATGTTGGTTGTATTTTCTTACTACATCGGAAAGCTACATACAGTAAGGTTGAAGCTCAAGCATAAAAGCACCCGGTGACGGAGAAGTACAGAGGACTTACATAAGCATATGGCAGCAATAGGTAGGCAGTAAAGAGCAGCACTAATGTGTTCTGTGACAGCTGACTTCATGGATGAGTTTGGATCACTGAACATGTCATTTCCACTTTGCTTGAATGCCAGGTGGCTGCAGTTACAGTGAAATGTTTGGACATGTCTGTGTTATCACTGTGATATGATTATCGTGTATTTCTGTGTTGGATTCTTTCACAGATTTACATTTCTTACACAGGGTACTAGCTCATTGCTGATGCCACAATGCTTTGGTCAAAGAGAGTAACATCTCTGTAGCTTCTTTTATGCTGACTTGAAAGAGTACAAGTCCAAGTGGGAACATCGTATTAAATATGGATTCTGTTTGGGTCCCTCTTCTGTTGCCTGCTCTCCCTCCACCGAACTCTCAACCAGTGTCAGAGTCTCCATGTATGAATCCGTGTAAGTGGATGTTTTTGTAATGTGAAAGCTCCAGAGTGAAGGGGGGGGGGGGGGGGGCTTACCTTGGAAGTGCTGTATGATTACTCAACAAACACAAATAGTGGTTGTAACCTTGACCACACAGAATTATTCTTTGCAATGGATGAAGGGTGAGGAGGAGTAACATGTGAAATTCCAGAGGGTGTCTCAGTGTGTGTCTAACCTTGTGAAAACACAGAGACGTGAGTTTGATAGAGTTATTACACATCTGTGGTTCCACCATTTGTGCGGCTGAATCTATTATCCTGAGACAGGGCTGACCTGAGGTTCCGTTGGGACTTTTCATCACCTCTGTGTCACGAGTCAGGCAATTGCAGAAGCCACTGTTTGCTTTTCATTACTAAAATACAAACTTTAAGGATGTCTTTTTGTTTTTCTTAACGGAACAATGTT